AAAAGGTCCCACATACTCAAGCACACCACACACACACACACACAAGCACGCACACACACACTCACGCACGCACGAACGCATGCACGCACGCACGCACACACACATACACACATACATATACACGCAATTCATTTATAGGTTTACACATTTATTATTTTAAGCTTATTACAACAAGTTAAAGTTCACAGTTATTTAATTCTTTAATTTCTCAAGCTGAAAGCATGAACATGTATTTTAAGGAGTGAAGTAAAATGGACACCAATTTAAACAAAGTTGTAGTATATAATTTTACTTTAATTACATTTGATAGTATGGCTGTAGTAAAGGATACATTTTTCTGAAGGAGACCTTTATTGGCCTTTAAATTTTCTGAAACTCTAATGCAGATGCAAATTTTAATGCAAATTCATTAATTAAAGAAATCCATGAATGCATGAATGGTGTGAATGAAGTAAAATACGAAAGTTGGATAAATAAAAAAGTAAATAAATAAATGCGCAGACAGGCAGGCAGGTAGGCATGCATGAATAAATAAAAACATACATGAATCAGTGAATAAGAACAGTTTGTTTAAATAGTATAATACCCACACAACAATGTCCGCTCTGTAAACGTCAAGACATTGATGACCTAAACTTTGCTCAGGGGTTCAGACCCCGAACTGTCGTCATTTTGCACATTAACATGAGGTTGTTCTAAGCAGTGAGTGATTGGCCAAATAGCATGGCCAGTCTAGTCTGGGCACAGCTGTTTCATGAAAATGCCAGAGAGTTCTTTCGTTTCTGAAAATTACATGCATAGGGATCTAGGTTCACATTAACCTCCAGTTGCGAAGGAAACTCAGACGAATGGTTACCAGATAATGCTGTGTTTGAGTAGAACAGTAATTAAAAGCTTAATGTTACTTGTGTTTTACTTAATTATGGTAACATTTACTCTCTTCCATCGCGAATTGCGCTGCGTGTAATACAGACGAAAGTATATGTCATGTTGTTCCCAGACTTATGCATGCTACATTAATTGGACAAATGCTTGGAATACGCTGGCATGGGCAAACTTTGGTTCGCTGATCCGATCCGGCCTTCGATCAGTTTCCGTTCGGCCGACGAGTCAACCCACTTACCAATCGATAATGAATGTAAACTGCGCTGAGTTGAGGATTTATTTTAAAAAACAACAACAAACAAACAAAACAAGGCGATCCGTCTTAAGAAACGAAAGAATAGTTTCCGGCCCCGCTGTACCAATAGACCCAAGATGCCATGAAATGTCTTTGAGTGACATATTATTATGCTATAGTGTTTGTTTTAGTTTAACTTTTGATAGCGTGGGTATTTCAACCGATTTCATCCACTTGTTCTCCTGTTTTAGCCCCCGAGACATTCAGAATCTCTTAATCTAGCCTCCCACTTGGACACGCGTGACCCTTTTTGGACCAAACCGTTCACAAAGTGGCATTCGTTCTCGTTCTAGATATAATAATGATAATAATAATAGATAGATAGCATTTGTATAGCGCAAATCCCCGCTCAACAGCAGGCTCTGTGCGCTTCACAATCCATACTATTACCCCAGCAGACCTGAGAGCATTCTGAAACAACCTCAACTTCCAAGGAAGCATACAGTGCAAGCAGCAATCTATAGGCGCTAAAACACTAACA